TCTACATGTCAAATCGACTTAGCTGGGCAAGATCAAGGAAGCTAGAAATAGAATCTTTGGTTCGAACAGAGGTTAGCAAGTGATGAGAATGGATTAGCAGACTGAGAGATGCTTCCAACGCATGTAGCACAAGTTAGTTGAGGTGGTTGAAAGCCCAAATGCTTCTACATGTCAAATCGACTTAGCTGGGCAAGATCAAGGAAGCTAGAAATATACAGATCTCAGTAAGATCTCTTTAAAGCTCTGAATCACTTCAAATGCTTCTTCCCAGCTTTCTGGCCACCTGGGCTGAATTGCTGTTTATCAGAGAAGCTGCCAACAGGCTCATTTATCTCTTGATTGGTTCTCTTTTCCAGCTTTCCCACAACCTCTACTAGCCCTAACCCCAACCCTAACTCTAACCCAATGTGGAGAAGAGCTATACTGTAATGCTATAGCCCCTGCTGTTCAACTCCTGGCATCTCCAGTTAATCCAGGGCAAGGCCCCTTTTTGAAATTAAGTGGTGGGCCATGACCAAGTGGAGTGGGGGCCCTCCAGGAACCAAAAGCCAGTTGCAAGGGATTTGTGTAGATCTATGGAAAGAGCTCAGATGTGTGCAGATATGTGTAATGACATGTGGGAAAGACCTTGGGAGACCGGGGAAAGAGATGCTGCCAACAGTCAGATAAGAGAGGGCATAGCCTGCAGCTACATAATGGGTGGAGAAAGAGACTCAGAAAGGAACCTCCCTAGTTTCTCGGGCTGTAAAGGAAATGCGGGGAGCATTGTAGTTTCAGACTTGCAAGATTTTGTCAATGTAGCTTTACAATACAGTAAAATTAGCTCATCTGGTCATGATTCCTGTCTGGTTTACCCCCATGCAGCCAACAGTATGTGTGCAGGATCTGTGTCCGATTTTAGCATTGCTTTCCCCTAGGCAGCTGGACCCCGTCCCTCAGGAGCAGAGCAATGCATCCCCGCTGCCCGAAAACCCCAAGCCGCCTCGCCCAGGTTCCTTCCCTTTTCACTGGATGTGGGAGAGCTTTTCCATCAAAGGCCAGGCTGTCTACCAAGACCATGCTTTGGAGAAGGACAAGAAGAGGACCTTGCCGCGGGCTTCTACCGACTCTCCCCGGGAACCCCCTTTCACCCCCGCCTTGGCCTCGGGCTCCCCGGCCCCCAAAGAGAGCCGCTGCTTGGAAGCGCTCAAGACTTCAGGAAGTCCTGAGGGCCCCTACAGCAGACGTCAGAAGCACTACTCGCACGCCGGCTTGGTTCCTAGAAGCTCTCTCTTGCCCCTCTTCTGGAAGATGGAGGCCCGGTCAGAAGCCCGGAAGCGTCAGTTGCGCCAGGAACGTCGGCATTGGCTCCATCTCACCCATCAGCTCCTGACCCTCGAAGGGCAGGGTCTCCGGCGAGAAAAACGCCTCTCAGTCAAGGAGCTGGAGGAGAAGCTCCGAGCAGAACTCCTGTGTTTGGCCACGGAGCCCGAAGAGCCGGGCCCCCAAAAGGAGAAAAGGAAATCCAAAACGCGGGCCCCAACTCCCAAGGAGGAGCCGACGTTCAAGCCCGTCATCAATCGGCGGGTGCCCAACTTCAAGCATCTGCAAAGGCGCTTCCAGGAGCAGCTGGAGCAGAGGAAGGAGCAAGGTGGGTCAGGAGACCCACATTGGTAGCAGGAGTTGGCTATCAATATCCTTGACGTGGGGAAAGGAGGCAAGCCCCCAGGTGAATGCTATAAAGCAGTGTTTCTCAACCTTGGCAACTTGAAGATGTGTGGACTTCAACTCCCAGAAT